TTCGCGCGACCAAAAATATTAGTCGCATTTTCTTTAAAGAGACGAAACTTTTCGTCGCGCAAAAATAAATATATAGTTTTCAAAATTAATTTATTTATCCGTTTGTAAATGCGCGACGAAAAATGTCGTCGCGCAAAAGTATACATTTTATTTAATTTTAATTTTACCGTTTTGTTTTGTAATAAAATATATTTGAATTGTATGTTTTTTTTGTTGCAATAAACTATATTTTATGTAGTTTAAATTTTATGTTTTTTTTTTGTAATAAAATAAAATTGCAATAAAAAACCATAATGAAAAGATAATATAAATTGAAATAGTTCAAGACAAAATGTTTAAAATGTAATTAAGAAAGTAAAAAACTAATTAAAAAATGTAGTAACATCTATGTTGTCATCTTGCAAATGCGGCTCGGAAGTCTGGACATCGACATGGGCAGAAGTGTGGTGGCCATGCTCTGGTTGAGGGGGCACGGAGGTCGACGAGGAACCAAAATGTGACGGGAGTGGAATGCCGGACCGAGAGATGGACTCTATAAGCTGTGACATCTGGGCATTATACGAGGCCATTTGGGAAGCCATTTGGGTCTTAAGCTCGGCCACCTCAGCTTTCAAAGCAATCACTTCAGTGTCTGATTGGGACGATGGAGGGGCTCTAGATTCCCGCCGTCTGGCATTCCCCATCCCTCGACAATATGTCCCTGGCCTCCTCCCGAGAGTCTGATCTAAGGTCTCCGTCAGTATCTGAAACCCCGCATCCTGTGGAGGATCCACAACATCGAGCGGAGTATCGGGAGGAAGCTGGGAGGCAGACTCTTGAAGAACCAACTGGCTCTTCTCCGTCATCATCACCTAACATAACATAAAATATTAATTAAAATCCTCATATAATAACCATGAACTCATGAGTAAAACAATAATTAAAATTAAAGAATACTTACATGAAGGGACTCCGCCAACTCATTCCCGGGTCGAACATAAACGTCGCCAAAGACGTCGATCTCCGGGAATTTGGACCCCCCCTTAATTGAACAAGAGAAGACAATTGTTAGTACAAAAAAAACAAATTCATATTAATTACATATTGAAATTAAAAAAAAACGATATAATTATTACCCGCCGCCGCGCTTCCATCCTATATGAGAAGGGCCTGGAACCGGAATGATGGAGAAGAGTCTTCTTGTCCCTATTGCCCTTATTTGCTTTCGCCTTCTTCTGTTATACAAAAAATAAACGTATTAGTTGAAAATTAAATGAAATTAAAAAAAAAAGTAAATAAACATTAATAAAAAAAACATGTAATAAATTTCAACTTAATATAAAAAAATTACCACATAATCGGACTCTTGAAAATGACCGCAGAGCCACTCCCAACTATCCTCCCGCCCCTCAAGCTCCTTCGGGCAACCCTCCTGAAGAGCGACCTGCGGATCATCATATGCCATAAAATGATGGTGCAGATCGCTCTTCCACTGCTTGTACCTCTCACCAAAGAGTCTGTTGACGTACGCCAACGACTCGTCGGGGAGGTTCTCTAAATTGTAGTTCGTCTACAATACATTAATGACATTCATTCATTAAGTATTAGAAATATATAAAATTTGAAAGCAAAACAATTAAAAGGCATACATACCGACAGATGTTCGCGCACCACCGTCCGCATCTCGTCAGGCATGACCTTCCAAGACTTCCATTTCATCGGACAATGGGTCCGAACGACGTGACCAATGTCGTGGGCCAATGAGCTATGTTGGTCAGCCGTTGGTGCAGCTCGATGTCGCTCGTCGTATCCGATGTTGACACGACTGTTGTGAACCCGGGTGGACTTCGCCGTCTTCAACTGGCGACAAGGTCCCCGGGTGTTCCTCTTGGCTGCAAACACATATCACATTAACGTTAAATATATAATCCTAGTAAAATATTGGTCTGAAACAGCTAGAGTTGAAGGAAATCTTTACCTGGTTGTGAATCTGATGCACCAGCAGCAGCGGACGAAGTGGTGGCGATCATGTGGGGAGGGCGATGACGCCGTCTGGCGCTAATAGGCTGCACCACTGATGACTCAGATGTCACCGGCTCATGGGAGACCTGACGAGAAACCTGCATAACATCCACCTGTGGTGGAGCACTGACAGGTGACGTCGAAGCCGGGGGTGGCAAAGGCTGTGCACTCGTCATCGCCTTACGGGTTCTGATAAGGTTCGACATCTGCACAAAACAAGCATTTAAAGTACCTCCTGGGGCAAGAATTTATAATTTATACATAAATAAATAAATAAAAAACCTCAACAACTAATCAAGAACAAATTCAATATCAAGTAGCAATAAAGAAAGAAATCAATCAAGAAAATTTAATTGCAAAATATACTAGAATAATTTCTACCTAAATAAAAAATAAAAACACAGAAAAACAGAGACTAAGCCAATACAAAAAGGAAATTGAAACATAAAATCCTAACGTCGAGAGCAGGTACCACAGTGGTGGTCTCCCCCTTCCCCCTGCTTGACAACCCAGGTTCGAAACCCCAAGGGGTTTCTTTCCTCCCAATGTAACAAAAAAAAAAACATAAAATCCTAACCAACCATCAGACTAAGCAATTTCAACACGTACAAACTAAATTGAGAAATCGAAACAGCAAAACAAAATCACAAATGCATTAACATAATTGAAAGAAAAATAAAACATATATTATACCTTCCCACAGAGACACGCCTGGAGGAGACCGTGAGAGGAAGATGGAGATGGTGACAGAGACCGTGGGATTTCACCGTTGAGGATTTTTGCGGGATTTCACCGATGGTGGGTTCGGATTGGACAGAGAGGGAGAGAATTTGAGGTCAGTGAGGGGGAGAGGGAGAGAGGGTTTGTGGTTTGGTTAGGGGGCGTCGACGGTTGGGGGTTGTCATCATACCAAGTTTTGTTGATGTTCACAGATAGTAACCCATGATCAATTTTAACACTTCCCTGCCTATTTGGGTTCGTATCAAACCATCGACACTTAAACATGATCACTTGGTATCGGTCTTTGTAAAGCAATTGCACG